ATAAAGAACTCAAGAAATTAGACATCAAAATACACAACAGACCAATTAAAAAATGGGCTATAGAGCTAAATGGAGAATTCTCAACAGAAGAAACTCAAATGGCTGAAAGACATTTAAGGAATTGCTCAGCATCCTTAGTCATCAGGGAAATGCAAATGAAAACAACTATGAGATACCATCTTACACCTGTCAGAATGACTAAGATCAAAAACACAGAAGACAGCTTATGTTGGAGAGGATGTGGAGCAAGGGGAGCACTCCTCCACTGTTGGTAGGAATGCAAACTTGTACAGCCACTTTGGAAATCAATATGGTGCTTTCTTAGAAAATTTGGAATCAACCTCCCTTAAGATCCAGCTATACCACTCTTGGGAATGTTCAATCATACCACAAGGTCACATGCTCGACTATGTTCATTGCAGCATTATTTGTAATAGCCAGAACTTGGAAACAACCTAGATGCCCTTCAACTGAAGAATGGATAAATAAAATGTGGTACATATACACTACTCAGCAGAGAAAAACAATAACATTATGAGTTTTGCAGGCAAATAGATTCAACTAGAAAAAATCATTCTGAGTGAGGTAACCCAGACTCAAAAAGATAAATATGGTATGTACTCACTCATAAGCAGATACTAGATGTAAAACAAAGGATAACCAGACTGCAACTCACAATTCCAGGGAGGCTACCTAGTAAAGAAGACCCTAAGAAAGACACAGGGATTGCCCAACGACAGAGAAATGGAAAATCAGAATTCTTGAAATGAAAATTTATGCACTGCCACTCAACTGTGGCACTTTCTATTGCTATAAACATTAAAAATTTAAATCACGTTTAAAAAAAGCATTGTATCAAGAAATTGTTGCTTTGTGTGCAGCTCTCTTTTGGTTAGCATTCACTGAGCTTTTTAATAACATATCTTGTGGCATTTGTATTTTTTTAATTGACCCAGGAAGATAATTTTGAAGATGAATTTAAAGTGGAAGATAATTGCAGAAACCAGGAGCAAATCTCTTAAGATTATTGATTAGGAATTACTACAACCTTAGACATTTCTCATAATGTTACACTTCCAAAATTCTGTTCTCACAAAGAAGCCACCGGGCATTACAGTGGCTGTGATGTAAACTGTCCTACCCCATTTTGGATAGCCTAACAAATAGTTCTAAAACTATAACAAATTTTCAAAGAAATCATAGTTTTATAAATTAGAAAATTAATGTCTTAACTCATGCCATTTGACCCTATATATAAATTTTATTTTCCCCAAGCAGAAACAGAAATTTGAGGCCAGTGAGATGGTTCAGTGGGTACAGACACATGCCTCCAACCCTGGCTGTCTGAGTTTGTCCCCAGACCCATATGGTCGAAGGAGAGACCCAAGTCCCTCAGGTTGTCTCCTGATCTCTATACATGTGCTATGGCACATGCATTCATACAATCACTGTGGCACATACAGGTATACATCATTATGGCACATACTTGTATACATCACTATGACACATGCATGTATATATTACTATGACACTTGCATGTGTAAATCACTATGGCACAGATATGTATGCATGCACTATGGCTGTGGCACATATATGTATACATTACTGTGGCACATGCATGTATACATCACTATGGCACATGCATGTATACACGCACTATGACACATACAAGTATACATGCACAAAAACCTCTGAAATTTCAAGATTATTAAATGAGTAGAAACATGATAGTTCATTCTTCCTTTTCCTTTCTCTATGCTTTCTGACACTTAATGTATGGTTTTATTCCTCTTACTATTAATGTGTTTAGTCAAATATACTCCCTAGTGACATTTGGCAGGATAGAAAATGGGAAAGAATTAAATTATAGTTCACAAACTTATACACACACAATATCATGCCTTTTTACCTCTAGGTGTTAGGAATGTAACTACTAATTTAAAGTACTTTTGTTTTGTTTTTTTTCTTGGACCTGAAGGAAGTTTCCTATAACTTCCCCAGTGCTAGGGAAGCCTCCCCTATATCACATGATACTTTCTTCTAAGCCTGGTTTACAAACATACTAAGTTGAGAGACCTAACAGGGAGGCATGTATGTAATATAAGTCTGTAAATAAAGTCCAGAGTTTGATGGAATATGAGAACTGTGGTGAGCTCAAAGCCTTCTGCCCAATTGAAAGGCATTTAAATATACTACAGTTAAAAAAAAAAAAAAACAGACGAACAACGAAAACACTGCTGTGCATGCTGGTGCACACCTGTAGTTTCAGCAGCTCTAGAGACCTAAGAGGAAGATCACTTTAACTCAAGAGTTTGAAGGTAGTGAGGCGCTGTATCAGATAACAACATAGTATCAACAAATACTATGCACCTACATGTGACTTCAGAGATGCATATCCCCCACTAGGTTTTCTGTAACTCAAAAGCTGGGAAACTGTTTTGCTTTCCTGTTTCTGGTGCATCATATTTGTCTGAGGCAACAGACATAGATTAGGCTTCCCCGGGTAGAGAAAGGGCAAGAAAGAAAATTGCAAATACTAAAATTTGAAGGTAGACAGTCAAGACCATCAATTAATAGCATTACTGTACGGAAGTTGACATTACTTTTCAGCATAAAAAAAAACTCAAAATCGCCGGGCGTTGGTGGCGCACGCCTTTAATCCCAGCACTCGGGAGGCAGAGGCAGGCGGATCTCTGTGAGTTCGAGGCCAGCCTGGGCT